AATTGTCCAAAGAGGTTGTATTCTACAGTCTGCCTGAATGTAATCATTGCGTAGGTGTGTAGTGTGATTCTGTGTAGTTTATTTATGGCATCCCGTTGGATTTGACGTCATCTGAACAGGACATCGCACGCTCACTGCTTGATAGCGCCAAGGTCCGTTTACGCCGGTTGTTAAACAACATCGTTATGGGGAAATGCAAGTCTGCGTCCAAATGGTTGGAAGATAAGGAGGAAGGACAATCAATACTGTATATAGTCAATGTGAGGTAAAGTGTGTCGCCAAGGTAACCGGTTAAAACTCAAAGTGGTGATGAGGTCTTAGAATGTACGGAAAGGGTCTTTAAAAAGGTCTTAAAAGGTTTTACATCTGACTTCAGGATTCCTGCATATACCCTGTAAATGTAACAATATATGAAACAGTAGTATTCATGTGTTAATAAGACCACCTTTCAAATAAATGTTATCAATTAAAGTTGAAAACATTTTCCAACATATCTTAGTTGATAAGAAAAAAGCCTAATAACTTATTTACAAAACAAGCTTGAAATACGAGCTTCCTATTTCTCCTTATTATCAATCTGAGCTTCTGTTTGAAGGGATGAGCTGCTAACACTCACACGCATCATTTACCAACATTTGATTGATTTTGCTAACTTATAACTGAACTTATGAGGCGATACACCTCTAGTGAGTGGCCCAGGTATATTTTTCTGTATGTGGCCCTCGGTGAAAAAAGTTTGGACACCCCTGCCTTAGAGGTCAGTTCTGTGTGAAGGGGGCCCCAATGAAAGGAAATATTCTACTCGTGTTTTTCTTCTGTCTTCCAGGTGATGAAGTTTTGGAGCAACTAAGGGACGACAAGCAGAGCGCAGAGGTGTGTGTCCTTTTGATCTCCTCCTGGATAATACTAACACTAGGTCTGGATGGATTGACGCTTTTTGCCATTCATACATTCAGTGTGAAGAGGCTTCCTTACCCTGGCCCCAAAAACAATGTGACAAATATTCAACCTCATTTACATTTTTCATCACTTTTGGGGCAGTCGTACGGACACCGTCTCACTGAATGCAGTTTGTGAAATGACTGTGCTGCTTCCTCAGACATTTACTAACACAAACCACGTCTGATGTAGCAGTAGACTCTGAATTGTACAGTGTGTTGTTTACTCGTTACAGTATAATGTTTTACAGAGGTGAATGGAAATTCAAAGCATACTGATGACAGCCTGTCTCTCTCCTCCTCGATCACTTCTCATTTCCTGCCTCTGTTTACTTAAATGTTATACTGTATTTTGTGTGTCAGTGATGACTTGAGTGTGTTGTCTGGCAGAAGGTTGGTCCTGATTTGAATCTCAACATTTTTTTATTCTCTTTTTCTTTCTTAAACTCCGATTCCTCTCCTCTGCCCTGTCTCTGATGTTGGCAATGCTACAACACCATCAGGCAGCGGTTTGTTCATGTTTTCATCAGCTTCACTTGTGCATGTCTGTCTCTGTCACCGTGGCGTCCAGTGGATCACATCTTAGTCTGTGTTAAAACTACAAACGGTCGTACGAAGATAATTCAAGCTTGATGAACTAAAACCTTTAGCGTTCAATAAATGCGCTGCTTAAATATTCCTATATAGGCAACTACAGCCATCATAGCAAATCAGATCTGTTAAAGGGACAGTTCACCCCTTTCACCTGTAGTGCTAGTATATAGAAATGTATTTATTAGGATAAACCCCTTGAGAGCTAGTCATCCATTTAGACATTTTGCTGAGTGTTTGAGAGATATCGATTAGCATCTGATACCTCCAATGAAATGGAACACTCAAAGCCCTAAACAAAAACAAAAATGCAACAGAAAGCATGACCCATTACTAATCCACGGGTCCTTGGTGTGTGCAGTTTTACAGAGGAACTATTTTCTTTCTCTTAAACTACGCTTCCAACTGTATCACAGCACAGTGATGCGTGGATCTACTCCTGGACGAGAGCCAGGATCAGCTGTTGATTATTTTGCGTTAAAGGGTCAAGCTTCCTCAAAAGAGACATTTCAAATGCTATTTTTTATTTTTAGGTTTAACTAAATAAAGTTTTTTTTATTATTATTAGTCAATTTATTGAACATGTCAGAAACAAAAACATACAACAATAATAAATATATATATATATATTCTCTTTTTTCCTTTTTTTCTCACTCAAATTAATAATTATAACAAAGTATAAAAAAAAATAATAATTAAAAAAAAATAATAATAATTCTCAAATAGTCTCTTGTCATGTTCAACAGGGGCAAGAAGAAGCTTAAATAAACTTTTCTGGTCCTACCCCCTCTAGCATATATTTTTCTTATAAATAAAATATTAGGTCATCGTCATCAGCGACATGTTTGACAGGTTGACTCTTACTTGGTGATACACTTCTCATAAGCGGGTATTTTTCTAACTTTCCTCATTCCAAGCTTGAGTTTCTTCTTCGGCTGACGACTCAGTCACAATTCACTATTATAACTTAGATAAGATTCATTGTTTTGGAATATGGGAGGGCATAGTTACTGTTGTATAAATAGTGTTTTAATAGAATCAAGGCAACATTTTGGCACATAAATCAAAGTTTAAATGTCACAGGGTGTTATACATACTGTCATAGATCATAGATGATCATTCAGCAGCAGCACTGATGCTAATACTGTGTTTCCCCTTTTCAGATCGAGTTCCTCAATTCAGTCATCGTTGACCTTCAGAAGAAGAATAAGGAACAGAAGGCAGACTTGGAGACAATGGCTGCTGCTGCTCTGAATGGAAATAATCCAAGTGAGCTGGATAACTATGATGAGTAAGTGTGTAGCTGTGAGGTCGAGTGGTCAACCCAAAATAAAAAACGACATTGCTCCGGATGGCCAAAGATGTGTCCGACTCGGCAATACAACTCATTCTGTAACTAATTTTCAACTTGTTTTTTTGCAGCCACGATAATCAACCCACAAAGAAGAAGCTTCCTCCAAGACTTTTCTGTGACATCTGCGACTGCTTCGACCTCCACGACACCGAGGACTGTCCCACACAGATGCAGATGCCCGACTCTCCTCCACACACCGCCTACCACGGCGCTAAGGGCGAGGATCGGCCATACTGCAACATCTGCGAGGTCTTTGGCCACTGGACCGAATCCTGTAACGATGACCAGACCTTTTAAGCCTTTTTTTCCCACCCTCGTTTTCCACCCTCGTTTCGCACAATCAGTACATTTGCACATCATGTTAAATTTACGCTGTGCTTTATGGGTTTGGGTTTGTACGTGTGCATTTGTGTGCTTGATTTTGCAAAGCATATCTGTCGTCCTTAAGCGCTCTTATGGGAGAACGTCCTCCTCAGAATCCCTTCATACAAAAAAACCTTCAGAGATAATCATTTTCAGCGGTTAACTGTTTGTATCTGTAAAACATTTTGATATCCTGGGCGTGTGTGAGTGAGAAGATGCTGCGGGGGATGTTTCATGGTGGGAGAAGCGATGATCTTATCATTTAATTTATCAATATCCTAACATTGTTTGCACAGCTTGTTGGGGGCTACAAGATAATATAGTATCATAAGAGGTGTTTATTTGAAACTGTAAATTACTTTATTGAAAAAATATCAGTTTGCGCAAAAAATTGGTGAGCTATAGTTTATTTTTTTATGCCTGGAAATATGATGTACTCTTTAAAGGTTAAATAGTATGTGTGTAGTTTTGTGAAAGGTGATCACAGGGAGAAACTTTCTCTCTTCCTGGAGTGCAGCGGAGAAACCCAGTGCTGATGGCTTTAATGGGAACGTTTTGTATGGTCTTCATGAAGGAGCTGATGGACGATTGCTTGAAAAGAAGCAGTGAAAGCACTTCAAACTCAGTTCCCGTGAAATGCCCTTTCCAAAAGGTTTCTTTGCAATTTAAAAGAGCATTTCTCTACGAAACAATAAATACTTTGGTATTTATTTTCAAATGTTTTGAATATCTGTATTAAAAATAAATGTATGTATAAATTAAATGTGGAACTTTTGTTTTGATTGTTATTGAAAGCGCAGTCACTGTTTACGACTTCACACAGTTTCAGATTGCACTTCAAGTACAGATCCATCAGTGTGTTGCATTGCTCACTTTATGATCAATCAACATTTATTTATATAGCCCAATATCACACATTTTACATTTTTCTCAGGGGGCTTTAAAGTTATTACAGAATATTAATATGAATACAACACCCTCTGTCACATCGGAAAAGGAAAAACTCTCAGAGAAACCCAACAGTTAATTGGTAAAAATGGAGAAAACCCTTAATAATAATAAATTACATTTGTATAGCAATGTTTTAAGGTGAACAAACAAGGCAAATAATAAAGGAAAAAAAACCGAGGAGGGATCCTTCTCCCAGGACAGACAGACGTGCAATATGTCATGTGTAGCTTCCCAATGCTAGTAAAAAATTCAGGTATAAATAGCCTCATATTGATTTGGTTTAAGAGTTTATGGATTACTGTGGGTGAGTTTTTCTTCTATAAAACAAGCAAAAACCGGTGACCATGGCTAAAACAGATCGAAGAAACAGATGATGGATGGACAGCTTTAAAGTCGAGAAGCTGAAAGAGACAGTCAACGTTGTGACACCCCCTCCAGCAGAGGGCGACAGGTTACGCGCTCTCATAGTTTTGTCCTTCCTGAGTTGCCGTACCCCGGGTTACTTGTTACTACAGCTTGCTACGTTGTTTACAAAATTCCGTGAACCATTTTTCTGACAGTGCTGAATTCCCCTCGTTTTATGCATCAGTCGGGTCTCGCAGGTCTCTCCGGCCTGTGCCGTGTCACCGACCACCTGTACCTCAGTAATGGCCGAGCCGCTAACGACTCCTCCCAGGTGATCCGGTGCAACATCACCTGCATCGTGAACGTGACGGAGACGAAGAGCCGCTGTCCTCTGCACCGCGGGGTGGAGTACATCCACATCCCACTGCCCGATTCCCCGGCCTCTGCTCTGGGGGAACACTTCGACGATGTGTCGGATAAGATCCAGCTGACTGCGGAGCTCGGTGGCCGGACTCTGGTGCACTGCAACGCCGGGGTGAGCCGCTCCGCCTCGCTGTGCATGGCCTATCTGATGAAGCACCGCGGGGAGTCTCTGCGGGGGGCCCACAGCTGGGTGAGGAGCTGCCGCCCGGTGGTAAGGCCCAACAACGGCTTCTGGAAACAGCTCATCCGCTATGAGATGGAGCTCCGTGGGTGCGCCTCTGTCCGGATGATCTGCACCTCCATGGGAGAGGTACCAGACATTTATGAAGAGGAGGCCAGGAACATGATGCCACTGCGATGATGAAGCCTCTTTATTGTAACAACGAGGGAATGCATGAGAAATAATATTCCGTATCGTGTTTTGCATATACAATGAACTGCTGTTTGTATAAAGGCTTACAATGTACTCCTTTATTATGGAGTCCAATACATTCCAAGGGTAAATATTGTACTCTTTACTAGTTATTCAGCAGCTATAGTAACTTATTTTAGATGAAGATGTATGTCCACATAAAAGGTTTAATATATTATGAAATACATGCATCCCATGCTTTTCAGGTTTGGCCAGTATTTAGTTTGGGCCCCTTGTCACATTTTTGAGTTGTTATAAGTTCCACCAAATAGAGATTTCAACTAGATTTTCCAGATAATTTCACTGGGGTAAAACTATCAAACATTTGATAGTTTGTTTCCTTTTTCCTGTTAAATGTCTGATGACCAGTTAGATTTATTGTGACCCCAGATGTGTCCTCCCAGGTTGGGAACCCCGGAAATAAACTATTTAACGAAAGTACTCCAAGTGAAATGCTTCTTAAGAATTGTGTCATTATAAACTATTATAGTATTAATTGTAATATAAATATGTATTTCCTATGTTGATCAGCTACAGTTGACATTACTACATAAGTGTTATTGTGTTTGTATTTTTTTAATAATGCTTTGTATGTTTTTTAACATTTTACTAAAGGATCGGATTGTTTTTCAGCACTGGCTGAACGTGATTCGACAGGCACTGAATCACGAAAGCAGGTGACAGTAAAAGCAGTCAAGGAATCCAATTCATTGAGGCTAGAATGTACAAAAAGCTTTTATTTTCGAATCAAAACACATCTCAATCGATTAATTGGACGCAAAATGTTGCAATAAACACTTGATTGACAACAGGATGTTTTCATATGGACAGCAAGGCCTAACAAACTGAAATAAATACCTATTCATGTAGCTAATATGTTCATTAAACATCTTGAAAACATGCCGTTTCATGCTTACTGCCAGACTAGGATGACTCAATGTTTTTTCTAACAAATGTTTACTCGTGAAAAGAGCAAATTAATTAAAAGATGTTGCGTTTTTCTTTGCAAATGTAACAATAAAAAATATATATTTTGGACTTTGATTCTTCCAAGAAACAATTAGATTAGATTTATCTTCCTTTTTCCAGATAGCATTTTTTAAATAAATGATAACCCTCAACCGGTACAAATAAAGTCATAAGTTAGGAAACAGGCACAAAAAAAGAACCCCACATTGAATCACAGTAAATTCGTGCACAATTTGGCACAAGACACAAACACACACACACACACATACATCTACCCAAACGGAACAATTGTATCTAATGCAATAGTGTTCTACTATCCCCAGTCACGTTTATTCCAATAGCACACTCAAAGCAATAAATCACCTGTCCAACGTTCCTCTTTGAAAACCGTTTTAAAGGTTACAACATATCATGCAAAGCAACGAGTGTAACAGGTAAGACATATTCATCAAAAGAGGAAGTTACAGAATCAGACAGCAGCTTCCAGCAATGCAAGTTATGCATGTTATCATTGCGGATCAATTAAGATGCGTTAACAAACCCAACCCTGACAGCAGTCAACACATTATTCCTTCATCTTAGGAGCTGGTTCAACCTTTTGGGGAGATATTCACTTTCTAGCTAAAAGTTAGATGAAAAGAGTGAAAGTGAGCTTTAAAAAGCTACTAGAAAGTGGTATTAGGTTTGACAGAGCCATGCTGTCTGTTTTTCTGTTTCCAGTACGTATGCTATCCTAATCTAACCTTTTGCCATATTTACTGGAAATGTTTTAGAGTGGTATTGATCTTCTTACATAACTCTTAGCAAGAAAGCAAAGTACAGCCTTTCCAAAATGGACCACTTCAAGCACAGACTGAATAAGTATCAAACGTTAGGCAGTTCAAGTGGGAGAGCATTGTTATTGTCCAAGCATCTCATTTGGAAAGTAAAGGTTACATTCAACTAAAACTCTTGTTATATTTTCTCAGAGACATTTAACCACAAATAAATTGTACACGGACAGTAATTTACAAATGGCTTATTTAGTGCACAGTGCAATAATGTACTGTACATACAAATCTGGAATCCAAACAGATAATAATTTCCTCTGCTACCTAAATATCCTGAGTCCGAACCTTAGCCAGGTCAAATGACAAAATCGCCTTTAAAGTGGAATAACGACAAGTGCAATAACAGCATGCTTATTTTACCTTCACTGCATCTCACTAATTCCCTCGATAAGGCAACAGTTTCACCTGCATAGTCACGTGATAAGCATCTATTGGTATAGAATAAAATAAGGTCAATTTATCCAAAGGTGGAGTCGACGCAGAGAGAACCAGGAAAATATATAACGCCAGTATCCATTCACCCTCTTCTTACACACACCCCTAGTTTTTTTCAGCAGCTCAAGGCAATGGCTTCCAGATCATGACTTAAGATTACATCTGAAAGAAAATGGAGAGAATTCATTGATATGGTATTTTTAAATTGAAAAAGAGACTTGAGTGTATCTTCATATCGACAACTTACACTCTGGTCCAGCTTCTGGTAGTCTCCGGATTTAGGTCGACGAGCAGATCTGTATTTCTTTCCTTCCAAAAGAAAGGCAAAGATCTAAGGGGAAGAAAAGAGATATTGGCAAGTTTTCCACTGAATGGTTGAAGCTTTACATACAAGACAAACCTTGATATGATTAACCGAGGCATCGCGGAGGAGAAATCGCTCTCTATCAAAAGAAATCAAGCATTTCTCCTAAAATATCAAACTATCCCTTTAAGATTGTTCCTCTCAGCTGGAGTGCTTGTTTGGGCCCAGAAATGAATCTGCAAGTCACAAGCTGACCACATGTACCACATACTTAGTCACAAAATAATACAAGACTGTTAGTCTAATAAAATACACCAGCAAATATTTCCCCGTGTTAAACGATGACCCACTTAATCCATTGCATATAATGGAGACCTGACCTGAGTGTGAAACAAATGCAAAAGATATAGCTAAGCCGCTTCTGTGTTTCAAAGAATTCCCCTTCTGTCTACGTTACACAGACTGAAATGGTTGACACACACACACACAACATTTTCATCTGAAATCTGGGCCAGTGGAAACAGAGAGTATGCTTCAAAGATGTGCGAGCTTAAACCCAGGTACCTTCCGTTTGTTGTGGTAAGTGATGTAAAGCCCTGCCACGAGCACAGCTGTACAGACAAGGTAGGCAAAGAAATGACTGCTCTCCGCCACATCCTCTTCTATTTGTTCCTTATTTGCGCCGTCTAATTGTGATTTATTCTCATTGCCTTCGTCTCCTGGCTTGGTATTATCTACTTCTCCCTTGGGTAACAGGTCTTCAGCTTCTTTCACAGTTTCTCCTTTCACGGATGTCGTTGTGGTTGCAGGCTTAACAGTGGGTGTTGTCTTCCCTTCTCCAGGGTCCTGGTTATTCCCATCTGTCCCTTTCTTGCTGTTTTCATCATCGTGGCTTTCCGCACTTGTTGTATTCGTCTCGTTGTTGTCTTGTCCTTTCTTGCCAGAGTCCCCGTCAGCCTGTGTGGATTCGTTAGACGGTTTGGTCACATCTGACGCTTTTTCCCCGTCTGGCTTTACTGTGGGTTTTTCATCTGCTTCTGGTGTTTTTGATCCTGGGACGCCAATACCTTTTCCCCCATCTTTATTTTCAGTTACAGTAGAAGCAGCTACGTTTGGAGTTTTCTGTAATGAAATGGGTCCTGCTACTGCTTTGTCCTTGGTTACTGGTGTACCTGTAAATAAGCACAAAACATAATCAGAGATTCAAGCAGAAGAACACACAGGATGGGGACAATAACAGAAATTGAATTGCCATCTATTAATAAATGCTAGAAATGCTGCCATTGTTTATCCCTCAATTAGACCTCGATACATCTGCTCTTTCTCCACTGCCTTAGATCTTTGTTTCCCTTTGGGGTTATAGCGGCCAAAATCATAAAGAAAAAAACCAGAAATCTAACTCAAATAAAACCGCTGCTGAGGCACCACTTAGAGCAGGGGTGTCAAACTCAATTTCATCGCGGGCCACATTCGCATAAAGGTTGCACTCAAAGGGCCGGTTGTAAATTATTACGGTCCTAAGTCGGTCGTATTACATTATATAATATGTAATAAATTATACATACCATAATATAT